AGGGCAGATGAGCAATTGGTTAACGTTGGCATGTACCCTAGCAATAAAAGCCTATTTGTAAACATGCAACCGTGCAGCCTTTGTAAAAGAGTAAGATACCTTGTAACAAAAACCGCTACATGGGTGATAGGGATTTTCAATAATTATAAATAAACTAACAACCAGATAAATCAGTTAAATAAAACAGATTAAAATATAATAATCATGACAACTCCCACAATTGGATTTAATTAAGTAATAATTCATTCTTTCAAAAAATGTAAGTTGTTTTAGTTTTGTCCTAAGTCAAACTTCTCTAGCTTTGATCAAGTTTGTAAAAAAAAATATTAAAATCAACAATACCAAATAAATACACTATCAAGACATTTCATGGAAGATTTAATCATTTAATGAAACTAATTTGATGCTGTGAATATTCAAGCATTTTTTATAAACTTGGTTAAAGATAGAAAAGTTTGACTTAGGACAACTAAAATGACTTACATATTGGAACAGAGGTAGTATTTTCAGTGAAGAAAAAAATCAAGAAAGAGACAAAATACAGAACCAACTTCAAAGGTCTGTTTTCACCTTTTAGAAATAGTGATGTCATCAACCCTTCAATCCACACTGAAACAATTTTTCTTAGAAACACACACCTACCCCTAAAAAATGTTCTTTAAAATTGGTTTCTAGAAGATTGATGAAACAGAAGAACAGAGACGTTACAGAGGTTGAAAACCCACTACAGAAGAAATGCATATACACAGGTTACACGATTTATTGCGATGCATAATTGTATCAGACACAGCACAAACTACACAGAAACGAGACAGAGATGGCAGCCATTCAACCAAAATGCCATGGGCACGCAGGACCTACAAATTACTAATTATCCAACAGTCCAGCATAACTTATCAGATATTTAGGCCTGCATATAATAGACCTGAAATAACACCATCAAGCACGCCCATCAAGGCTACCGAATTCACAGCTACACACACAAGTTCCAAAAGTTCAAATGATGCATAAATATTAACATACTGCCAATTGCATGCACACATTGCCACTCCCACACGTGCAGTTATCAATACAAACAGATCACCACGAAGAACAAGTGAGAACAGAGGCTCATTAAGCATAGGCAGACAAATTAGCTTACATCAGCAGGTGGCGGACGTGCAGCTGGCTTGCGAAGCAGTTTCTTAACAATCTGTGATGCAGTAGTTCGCTTCTTAGACTTAACCTTCTTCCTCATGGCTGGCTTGTAGTACATATAACCACGGCCATAGTACTTTGGACGCTGCCGCAGCCGGTCACTAGTCCTCACCGGCGTCACTGACGCATCCCCCTTACCCTCCATCATCACCATCCCTCCGTCCTCCTCAGGTCCACTTTCAGACCATGCTGCCCATTGGTCCTCAGATTAGGCCAAACAGCCCCACGATTGCAGCCAATCCCCAAACCCTAGCCCCGAATCCACCAACCTGCGTATACACAGATAAGATATCAAACGATACCAAATTTACCGCTAGTGCATTACAAAATGGAACCTGCTGTTTATTTTTCCACACTGAACAGTCCGGTCCCCAAAAAAACACCCAGGAAAAAATCAAACCCATGAACAAAAATACGAACCCTCCCCCACCAAACTCCAGTCAGCCAACCACGAATCATCCAAAATTCATACAAGCGAACAAAAACCCACCCCACGCCAGATGTCCGAACTAAAACCCCGCGAAAATGAGACCAAAATGAGCGCGAAAAATCAGGGGAAAATCCCGAGTCCGTCGCCGCCGGGTGCTAACCTCACGAATCCGATCCGTGGGGGCGCGGGACCTTCCGAGCCCGGGCGGATTCGAGGCGGCGGCGCGGGCAGCTGAGGGGACGGAGGCGAGGCAACGCGACTCGCGAGGGTTTCCTATCTTCCTTCGAGTCCGGGGTTTCGAAGCGGAGAGAGATGCCGAGACGACGCAAAGGGTTTCGGGTTTCTTTCCTCTCCACGGCCGCACGCGCGAAGCACGTGAGTCCGAGGCCGCCTCGGTCGCAGCGTTCACATGGCGCTAGAGCGGGTGCGGCTTCTGACAGGTGGGCGTAATGGTATCTCCGGGCCCGGTGGCAGTGGGTACAGGAAGTCTGACTTGGGATTAAATGGTTGAGGGGATTAGTGGGTGGGATTTTCCAAGGCGTTGGATGGAGATCGGACGGTGGAGAGGTTTTTCCAGGTTTATGGACAGGTATGTGTTAACGGACTCGTGTACCGTTGGAGAGAACACGTTTTAAAGCAGGAGTGGGGTGTCTACATGTCTCTTTTGTCTTCCTCTGTCCTAGGATTTTCTAAACCACCAAAGGATATTTGTGAAACCTATCACGAAGACAATAAACAAGTTATAGTTACAAACAGAAACATAAAGAACAAGAATACCAATCGATAATATGACTATGACTTTTGCCTTGAGTAGGTTGAAAAGGCATAATTTACAATCCATACACACATTATAGTCAGAGAACCCGTATTTTTTTTATAAAAAAAAACAAGATGAACATGAGTCTAGGTCTTTTCTCTTCAGCTATGTTAGCAGATGAGGACTATAGAACACAATTTTCATCGATCAATGCATTTATATGAATTTATCTGGTCTCCAATTCTACTAAATTATAGCTGGCAAAAAAAACATCCCAATGCATTGTTTCTATAGAACACACTTTTCATGAGACAACAAATAAAAAAAAGTAGCCTAGCTCATTATATGGGATTGTTGCATCATACGCGATAAAAGGCTCGTGCGTTGTTTTTATCATGAGAATAGCTTGAGATAAAACCCAAAGTGGCCATTCTATAAACAGTAAGTTAGATCCAAAAGGTTCAAATAATATATATGGATCTCATGGGTGTGTTCCATTCTATAAATAGTAGGAGGACAACTCCCTATTTATACTCAATTGTTTTGTGTGTTTGCACAAGTTGTAGTTGTTTGGTATTGCTTATAATTAAGTTACATTGAAAAAAATAGCATGTTGCGTAGTTCCATCATATTCACTTGACTAGAGATAGTAAAATGTATGTGACCAATGGAATATAACCTCATGATATGAACAAGCATGTATGAAAAGCCAATAGTGTCCAGCATCAGTATAAGTTAGTATACTTCCTCATGTAAATATAGTCCATTAGGAGCATGGTCCTTAAATAAAAAAAAGTTAAAGATTATGAAAGTGCTCCTCCGTCCCCAATTAATTGTCGTTCTGGAGTTAGGCACAAAGATCAAGGTAAAAGCAAAAAGATGAAAATAACCCTATGAGTAGTACACATGGCAGCAATCTCTCTCCTCTGCTGTTCTGGAGCCATTCATGAAGACCAATCGCGTTGTTGCGAGGGATGTGGGGATGAGAAGATGAAGACAACAGGAGGTGGGATGGGGTGATAGGATAAAGGTGCAGGGCTAGTTCGTAGGTGTTGGACAGCCTAAACGACACTCATTCGGGGACATAGTTCGAACTCCAGAACGACCAACATTAAGGGACAGAGGGAGTATTTCTCTAATGAATCTAGCAATTCAAATCTATACACGATTTTTTAGATATTTATGGTAAAAACTCAAAGATTTTATCCAAGACAAACCTAGATAGACTTATATTTTAAGACACTGATGGTAAAAACTAACAAAGGCTTTATCCAAGACAAACCAAGATAGAAGGAACTGGCAGCATTAGTTTTAGGGTCTCTCTCATGCATGTGTTTTTTCTTAATAATTTCTCTCTCGCTGTAATGGAGGAAAAATTCCCACATTTTTAGAGTCATAGTCTGATGTAGATGTAAAAGTCAATGAGGGAGAGAGATTGGTGGGTGCATCGATTCATATTTCAGCACGTAAAAAACATATGGTTCCAAAGCCGGCCTTATAGAGCCCGTGACAAGAAATCTCACGTAACTGTATAGTCGCGGTCAAGTCACCACCAGACAGTACGACATATCCGCTGAGCTCAGACACAACCACCAAACGGCCACAGGTTTGTTGTACTTGCTCGCTCCCTCAAAAGACGGCAATAGTGCCCAGACCTTTTTGGCCTGCGGAAGCTTCCTGGCTGGCATGTGGCTCAGGCCTGGTTTTAGTTCCCAAAATTTTCAACCCAAACTATCACATCGAATCTGGTGACACATGTATAGAATATTAAATATAGACAAAAAAATTAATTACACAGTTTGGTTGGAAATCGCGAGACAAATATTTTAAGACTAATTAGTCCATGATTAGCCATAAGTGCTACAGTAACCAACATGCGCGCTAATGATGGATTAATTAAGCTTAATAAATTCGTCTCGCAGTTTTCAGACGAGCTATGTAATTAGTTTTTTTTTTAGTATCCGAAAACCCCTTCCGACATCCCCGAAACATCCGATGTGATATCAAAAATTTTCATTTCACGAAATAAACACAGCCTCTTCAGCAGACCCAAAGTGACAAACTGGAGCACCCATGATGACGAACGCCATGCGGGTACAAGAACCGCGTACAAGTGGCACGTGGTCGCGTGCATTGTATATACCTGTAACATCCTAACAGCCTGCTGCGGTGCTGCCTGCCTCCGGGCGCAGGGCACTGGGGCAATCTGAGACCAGGGGAGGAACAAGAATCGCAACATTTGGGTAAATTTTCTAACAGCACCTTACAGTATTAAACCCTTTTACAAAGTCGGATAACCTGAACGTCGGTAAAAGACAGGGTAAATGAAAGATCAGTTGCAGAATTGGCATAAACTCGAGTCTCGGACAAGGATGGTACTCGATCCCTAAATTTTGGCATGTATGTTTTGCCAATTTAGCAGATGAGCTATACTACATATTTAACCTCAGGCCTCGACAACACCATGAAAAACACAAGACCACTTGGCTTGTGGACTTGTGATTATTGATGGTACCGAGGTGACCCTATGAGCAACAGCAACTTTTCTTAATCATGTGTCACATTCAATAGTTCAGGCACAATTGTGAGTCCTTGCCACTTTGTACGTCCAACTGATCAATCATCGTCGTTGTCGTCGTTTGCATCGTGATGATTGTCACCATAGTCAACCCATGGGAGCAGTGATTCAAGGAAGACTACCGCAGGATTACGCCCAGCGACTTCACGAGGAGCACGGAGTCTCTCGGGTCCAGCTTCTTGTTCAACAGGTGGCATCTCATGCACCATTCCTGGACCGACCATGAATGGCCGTAGTTCTTCTGGTGGGAGTGACGGCGTTGTGTCAGAGAAGTCTGAAACAAGCAGATGAGAGTACCTGCAAGGTAGGGGGCAACCTCAGGAACTCATAACTCTACTCAGAATGTCTAGTCTGGTATAATTTCTAAAAACATTGCATTATACCATAATACGCAGTCAAGGGAGTATCACTGAAACTAGAAAATGTTATAGGTACCATAATTTGCTAAACTCCACATGCAAAACTACTGCTAAGTTGCGATAGCATAGCTATGCTAGATCAACCCTATATTTTCCATATAACCTTTCAAATTGTAGGCAAAATCAACAACTCATGTCGCTACCAAAGATTCATAAGCAATGCAAAGTTATGAAAGCAAAGGGCATAATTGATAAGAACAGTCAAGTGAACTCTGATTTCTCACAGATTTCAGAGGAACTTACTCATTCTTCTCTGACAAGAATGCCTCCTTTCTAACACATGCCCAGTCCTGGGCTTCCCTGTTATCTTGCTTTAGTGATTCAATCACCAAAAGAGCAGCCTCTTTCAGTAAGTTCTGCAGTTCTGGGAATCTCCACATGATATAATGACGTTCCACATATATATTGATCATATGCTCAAGTGAAGGGCTTCCCGGTTTTGCTGATCCAAAGAACACATTTCTGAGTATTTGGGTCCATGATGAGTCTTTCAGAGGAGCCTTGTCAACTATCTTGCGAAGCACCATAGGATGAAGCATCAGAGCTTGCTTCATGAGATCAAGAGATGTTGACTTGTCAGCATCATCAGAACCCTCTGATGCTGCATCACGCTCAAGGTAAAACCGTGCAATAGCAAGAGAAAATGAGAAATTTGGAAATAACCACAAGGAGTTATCACACTGGTACTCTTCTGCAAATTGCTCCAGCCATTTGTACTGTTGTGATCTTAGAGCAAAGTAATCAATGCAAAATAGAGCACCCTTTGGATCATCAGAGTCCAGTGACAATAGAAACTTGCAGACCTCCAAAGCAGACCGGTGGCAGCCACGCCTATCCAGATTTTTCATGTGACTAAAGAGTGCTGTAAACAGTGGTTTATTTATGTCATGGCTGAATTTCAACTGGTAGTTGCCCTGAAGTGGGCTAAATAAAGGATGCCAAGCACACTCCAATGCAAATAGACATTTCTCCACTGCATCTGCTGATGATTGATGCTCTCCAGAATATTTGAAAAGTTCAGCAAATGTCAACAATGATTCTGGATGGTATGGATATTTCCCTAATATAGCTGCAATAGCATTGAGATCATTTGCTGCTTTGTCAGCTTCAAATAATTCCTGCACATGGCTGACTGAAGGATCATATGTGTACCTGCAAACAATTAAGAGCTGTTATTAAAAAGGTTAACTCATATATGGAACTAGGAAGCTAAGACTTCTTCCAGATTCCCACACATCTTCGAAATCGCACTCTGCTTATGCCTTAAGATGTTCTACAATACTACGATGATATGCCACATGCAAAGAGGGTGTCATACAAATATTAGACACAAGAACAGATAAGATAAGACCTCACCTGAAGTAATTCAAACCATTCTTCATCTCAAGAAGATCCATTGATATCGACTTATCCCATGGTGGCCAGTAGCTAGGTGGAGACACAAGAAGAGTTTTTCTTGGATTATGGGCAACACGCCTAGCACCACGTACTTGCCTTGAACTGCTTGGCATATTCCGTTGATTTTCAAATGAATCCACTACCTTTGATCCAAAAATGCGTCTCATCTCATTTTCACCCTTTAGATGTTTGGGGTCTATTGCAAGAACAGAGGATGCCCCATGAGTAGCTTCATTTGTCTCAAATTCCTTTCCAGCTGCCCTGTCACTCTGATGAGATCTTTGTTGTATTGTATTCTTTTCAATAGCTTCCAGAATTGAATCCAACGACTGTGCATCCTTTGACTTTGTTGATGATGGCTCTGCCTTGCTCTTTTTTTTCTTTTTCTTTGATTTTTTGTTTGTTTCGGGAACAACATTCGCCTTCTTTTGCTCAGAATGTTTCTGTTCTGTATAGCTCAAAGCTTGAATTATTTCTGTTTCATCTTCCTGTAGCAGAACAAGAACAGAACATTAACATCAAGTCTGATTAATACAAATATCTATTGAACCCTGGTGAGCACAGTACCATGAAAGCTGAGCTATGATATGAAGCTATGAGGCAAGATTACATCATGAAAACTGGGTCCAAGATTTCATAACCATTGTTATTTTTGTTTCTTACACCTTTAAGATCATAATTACAAGAAAAATACACACCATAACCTGCAATAAATAAATGAAAACAAATGCCCTGACACATTGAATGAATCCGAGCAAGCCAAATAAAATTTGTTAAGTATGAAGTAGAAATCCATACTTTAATAGGAAACTTCTTTCTACGTATATCTTTTCCATAGACATGTTTACCTTCAGCTTCTATAGAAAGCATAGACAGTTCACAGGAAGGGCTGGGGATGCCAGCTTAACTAGGTATGTATTTTTTATGTATACTTAGCCATCTCCTCATTTGTAGAACAGCACGACATTTAACCCAACTCTTAAGAAATAAAACAAACCTCAGATCCCATCCAACAACCCACTCGATGATAAAAGGTGGACAAGTAGCAGCTCCAATGAGACCGAAAAAGTCATCATCACGGTGCAAAAAATAAATACACTCCTAATGGTTCTAAATATTAGCACTGTGCAGCCTTGAGCCTTTCCTGATCCTTTTCTGGAGTTATATTAAGTATATACATCCTCTAATCAACAATATACGCATAATTGAAACTTGTTTCCCTTTCCTCCTTCCCCAACACTGAAATCAAAATCGTGAAATTCCCATAGGAGGACCGAGGACCTTCTCTGTTTGCACCTAACAGTTTTACCATTGACGTACGATATCTCTCGGACGCTACGAGCTCAGCACATTGGGGGCGATAACAAAAAGTGCTCCTACTACAACCTAACAACTATAAACCTTAACGAGATGATCATCAGGGACCGGGAGGCATGCACCTCTTTATCTTCTTCGTCGCCGTCGCCTTCGCCGTCGCCGTTGCCGTCGTCGAGGAGATCGAAGAGGTTCCGCGCGGAGGAGCGTGGAGGAGAGGCCTCCTCCTCCGCCGGCTGGTCGTCGTCGGCGACGTCAGTGTCCTGCGGGGCGGCCTCACGCTCCTGGAGGACTCGCCGGAGCAACCTGGCGGACATGCCGACGGTGAGCTGGGACGCGGGTTAGGGTTTGGACTTGAGCTTGGGTGGTCAGGCGAGAGAATTTTGAGATGGAGATTGCCGAGGAGAGTTTTGCGTTTTCCGGACCCAAGGGGGGCTAAGGCCCTGTTTAGATTCCAAAAATTTTAACTACAAATGTCACATCGAATTTTACGACATATTCATGCAGAGTATTAAATGTAGATAAAAAAAATTAATTACACAGTTTGAATGAGAAATCACGAGACGAAACTTTTAAACCTAATTAGTCCATAATTAAACACTAATTACCAAATATAAACGAAATCTACAGTTATAATCCGTTGCCAAACAAAAAAAATTTGGGAACTAAATGCGCCCTAATTGTCTCGTTTATCGGAGGGGGGGCGAGCGTGGACGACTTTGGATATTGATGGCCCAAACGAAGAGAGCTTTTTTTTTTTTTGAAAGCAAACGAAGAGAGAGCTTGTTAATGCCAATTTTTGTAACAGAAAATTCACAAGTCTTTATATATTTTCTTTTATCGATGAGAATAGAAATTTTGATGAAAAAAAATCCTTAAACAGTTTTTTAAGGGCATTTGGGAGAGCTCCCGCTTCAGTTTCTCCGGAGAGAATCATTCCCAACCAGTCAAACGCTCAAAATACCAACTGATTCAGGTGGGCATCAGCAGAGAATCACTTTTCCATTTACACTACGAGCTGTGAGCTAAAAAAATCTGCTTCACCTTACTCCCTGTTATATTCTGGTGGGGATCAACAGAAAATCAATTCTTATCAACTCCCCACGCTGCTCCCTCCTATGAATCCAATGAAATCACTCCATCAGAGATTCAAGGAGTAGAACTGAAGAATCATGGAGCGGAGCTCTCCCAAACGGGGCCTATCATCTTCTATTTGGATTCTCACTAACCAAAGATGAAGAACAAGATTAACTCACAAAATATAAAAAAAAATATTGGAATAGTAGAATAATATAAAGAGCGAATTTTATTCAAATATCTTTCAAATAATGATTTAGATAATGGATTTAAGAAAAACTCTTGTAGATACTCTACGTCATTTAAGTTAACAAGAGGATAAGAATAACGAGGGTGATCCTTCCCCCTTGTGTTCTTGGTGGGTTCTAGAGAGAATGAGAGGGATGAACTACAGAGAGAGAGTGGAGATGAGAGTGTGAGAGAGTGGGAGTGGAAGTTTGGTCTGCCGGTAACCTCCACTCTGTGCAAAGGAGACAGGCGGCCTGGAGTGGGAGTGCCGGACAACTCACTGTTGTGCATGAAGTGATATGTCAAACAGTCCAGGTGATCACAGGACGGTCTACAGGGACACATTGTCTGCGAAAATTGCTAAGTCTGTGGACATGTCCTCGTGAGCTGTCCAGGAGTGCACTTGATTGTCCTGGGGACATAAGAGAGCCCAGAAAATTCAATTTGATGCATTTGCAAGCTTTCCAAAACTAAATTAAACTGCAAATGATGCTTGTGATGATGATGTAAATGATCATATCACAATCGGGTCATGACACAAAAGGTACACAAACCTTATTAAACACTAAGCCTAAGCCTATAGCAAAGTGTCAATTGTGTGGTCTAACTAGCCTAAGCAATAATATCCTCATATTTCTTTAAGCACTTATGGTGACTAGAACATATAGAGATGAGCCTCATCTTACTAGCAACTTTCTTCAGCTCAAACACAACTCAAATGGCCATATAGACTCTCCCCGAAATATAGCTGTTGGTGGCCATCTGTATTTTGCAAAAATCATCGAAAGGTCTAGTGACACCACCGGAGAAATACAGTGCCTTGCCACGTTAACTAGCCGTTGCTGATCGTTGAAGGAGTCTTTCCCATTATTGCTTCTCCGGTGACTCCGATAAGTTTGGAACCTTTTTGCATCTTCTCTGGAGTGCACCATAAACTTCTTGCCTGACACTTCAATCAATTAAAATCTAGTGAAAACCAAACAACGCTCTAACACTTCAAACATGCATACTAATACATATAGAAAACACATTTATTATCTAAGGGAAATAAAATATGCATACACTTACATTGAATTTGACAATGGCATTTAATTCAAAGATTTCCTAAAAGGATTTCATTTTTACAGAATCTTTTAAACATACTTTCATAAATAAATATGTTTTAATAATATAAAAATATATAGTTTGAATTTGAGTGGGAGCTCAAATTCACTTTAAGTGTTTTAAAATATTTGTTTACTCATTCTTCTATGGAGCATATGTTTAGACATGACTTTCCAAAATAGGGTTAAAACAATTCCTCAGATAGTTTTGAAAATCTTGTTAGTCCAAAATAGGTATTAGTTCAAATAGGAGTTGGCTCAAAACCCAAAAAGTATTCAAAGGTTTTTGGTTTTGCTAGCAAGTTTTAAAATTCTCTTAGAAAGAAAACTTGAGTTGAGATTTTAAAACAAGATAAAAAGGGAAAGTTTGACTATGATTTATATGGAGGCACATGATCAAGTAAAAATTTAAAAAGTATGTATTCCAAGCATTGGCAAGTGAAGCCACATATCCACGCGTAGGATTGCATTACTTGATTTTTCCTCCAAAGTTAGAACAAGTTAGTTCCCGTTTGGGGGGTGTTCTTCTCTAAAAGTTTATAGGAATCTTGTACACTTTAACGAGGAGTGATTTTTAATTTCTGTCCGCAAAATGAATTGAAAACCGATGAAGCTACAAAATTGACTTCAAAGGTTTTTCTAGCTTCAGCTCTTTGAACATTGTACCAAGGAGCTGGGGGTAGGGGACAACTCGTACAACTAATCAACAGCTGTTCATAGCCTCTTGTATACAATAGCCCTATAGCTCAGTGGTAGAGCGTCAGTCTTGTAAACTGAAGGTCCGTAGTTCGAATTGTGTGGAGGCATGATTTTTTCTTATTTTTATTTTTATTTTTTATTTTTTATATTTATGAAACGTTGTAACTCCACCTATGGTGGGGCGCCTTTGGTGTCCCAGCATAGCAGGTCTCAAGCCCTGGTAAAGGAGGAGAGTTGTGTTAGGCGTGGCGAGCCAATGTAAAAACTTAGCCACTTTAACGGAGATGAAACCAGAAAGAAAATCGTTGGGGCGTAACCCTCTTAGCGACGCGCCATATCGGAACCCGGGTATGGTGTTAAATGGGCAAGGGCCGGGTCGTCACCCCCATGACGCACCGTGTCGTGATCTGGGCATGGTGTCAAGTGAGCAAGGATCGGGTCGTCGCTTCCTTAGTGCGCTACATCGGGCGCCGGGTGTAGTGAAAAATGAGCAAGGGTCTTCGCATCCGAAAGTCGACGGGTGCGAAGGGTAAGGAAGCTAGTCGAACCAACTAGGATCCGTTTAGATAGTTGGAATGTAGGGTCACTTACAGGTAAGTTAAGAGAATTAGTTGATACCATGACTAGGAGGTGTAAATATATTATCGTTCAAGAGACTAAATGGAAGGGTCAAGGCGAAGGATGTGGACAATACATGTTTCAAGCTTTGGTACACAGGGACGATCATGAATAGAAATGGAGTAGGAGTTTTGATTGATAAGAGCCTCAAGAATGGTGTGGTGGGAGTGAGAAGGCAAGGAGATAGGATTATCTTAGTCAAGCTTGTCGTTGGTGATATGGTCTTGAACGTAATTAGTGCGTATGCCCCCAAGTAGGCCTCGACGAGAGTGCTAAGAGACATTCTGGGAAGACTTAGATGGCACAGTTAGAGCTATACCTAGTAGTGAGAAGCTTTTTATAGGAGGAGATCTTAATGGGCATGTAGATACTACAAGCGCTTTGAGTTTCGAGGCAGTTCATGGAGGTTTTGGGTATGGTAGTAGGAATCAGGAGGGGGAGGAAGTTCTGGACTTCGCGGTAGCTTTTGACCTGATGATAGCCAACACTTTCTTTAGAAAGAGAGAATCTCATCTAGTGACCTTCAGTAGCGGACAACACTGTAGCCAGATTGACTTTGTCCTCGCAAGAAGAAAGGACAAACGAACATGCTTGGATTGCAAGGTGATACCAGGGGAGTGTATTGTTTCTCAACATAAGCTTTTGGTGGCAGATTTTTGTTTTCAGGTGCATGCCCGTAGGGATAAACAAGCTAAGATTCAAAGAACAAAGTGGTGGAAACTGAAATGGGAGACGTCAGAGGTATTTAGGAAAAAGGTTATCAAAGAGGGCTCTTGGAAGGAAGAAGACGACATAAACAACATGTGGGAGAAGATGGCAACCAACATTCGGAAGGTGGCCTCAGAGGTGTGTGAAGTAACCAAAGGAAGTGGAGGCGAGGCTAAAGATACTTGGTAGTGGAACGAGGAAGTCCAAAGGGCTATTAAGGAGAAGAAAGAATGATATAGACGCTTGTACCATGATAGGAGTGTGGACAACATAGAGAAGTACAAGGTGGCAAAAAAGACTGCAAAACGAGCTGTAAGTGTGGCAAAGGGTAGAGCGTACGAGGATCTTTACCAATATTTGAGTACGAAGGAAGGAGAGAAGGACATTTATAGGATGGCTAGGGTTCGTGAGAGAAAGACACGGGACTTCAACCAAGTTAAGTGCATTAAGGATGAAATGGAGCATCTCTTGGTGAAGGAGGATGAGATCCGACATCGATGGCAAGATTATTTTGATAAATTGTTCAATGGTGAGAATATGGACACAACCTTTCAGTTGGATGACTCTTTTGATGACACCAATAGGCGCTTTATGCGGAGAATCCAAGAATCTGAGGTCAGAGAGGCGCGTTGAAAAGGATGAAAGGAGGTAAGGCGATGGGACCAGATGGTATCCCAATCGAGGTGTGGAGATGCCTCGGGGACATAGCTATAGTATGGCTAACCAAGCTGTTCAACCATATTTTTCGATCGAACAAGATACCTGATGAGTGGAGGAGAAGTATATTGGTACCGATCTACAAGAATAAATGGGATATTCAAAGTTGTACTAATTATCGGGGAATTAAGTTGATGAGCCATACTATGAAGCTATGGGAGAGAGTT